TCGTGTGACAGACACAGTGATGAAGCTGGTATTGGTTAAGACAGCTGACTCCACTGTGATGTGACCCTCTCTCTCTCGCTTGCGCTCTCTCTCTCTCTCTCTCTCGCGCGCTCTCTCTCGCGCTCTCTCTCTCTCTCGTGTGTGCACACACACGATGCGCAAACTCCGCATTTGAACAGTCAATAGCAAATACTTAAACTAATAACAATATACATATATAATATATACAGTAGCTGATTCAGAAGCGCCAGATTGTCATAGCAAAGTCAGAATTACCTCCTCTCCTAGGTTCACGAAACGGTCGTCCATAAAATGCATTGCTGTTCTGTTGTAAGTAATCTTAAAGATTCCTAAATGCATCTACTTTCGGAAGGCCAAATAAAGTGCTTTTGCTTTCGCACTGAAACACACAGCGTCTCCCTGACATGGCTGCTTCAACACTAACTGCGGTTACTGAAACCACGCCTTCTTTCTTTGCGTGCACATTTGGGCGCATTATGCAAATATTTCCACATAGTGAGGTAGATATGTGGGGGCGTGTTAGAATGAGCCGGTTTGGGGGGGTGTGGCAGAGTCTTAACTTTAATAAAGAATATCTCTTTGGTTTTGAGACTTTAGTCTTTGCAACTTCAGGGATCTTATCTATGCACAATCAGCTTGTAACACTCCAAAGAGAAAGGAAAACTTGAAATCGCATCATAATGTTTGTAATCAACAGGAAGGCCTCTTGTATATCTACTGATTTGTATCAGATCTGTTTATTGAAGTTGAAATGGCCTAATGACGAGAGAAATGCATCAGTTATGTTGACATAATTTATGGTTATTGAGAAGCATTCTGTGTAATCCATTTCCAATATCCCAAGTAATATAGGATGTGAACTGGGCAACAAATTACTCTCATAAACCAACAGGCATTAGGTTCACACAACATTTATATGCTCCACATATAGTATAGTCACATGCCTTTGTTTTTGCATTTCCTGCTTGATCCCCATTGGCTGGTGGTAATCATTCCAAGAAAATGCAAATTTGATAATGTTTTGTTATATCACCTGCTAAGTCATGAAAGGGGACACACCTACAATACTGACATAGTGTCTGTACTTCGATTTGGCTTTCAAATGAGGTGCTGTTTTCACCACGATGGTCTTCTTTCTCATTTGCATTTATTTTTCCTAAAAGTAAACGAAATGACACATATTTCACATGAAGGACGTAACAGTTAGTCTTGACCTACATTATCTGAGGTTCCAAGAACACTGTGCCATTGTGTTTCTACTGTAAATGTTATTGCTTTAACTTCTCAAAGGCCCAAACTGTCTACTTAAACCCAAGGTGCTGAAGATCGCACTTATTTCATAACATTGCTTTGTATCCAAGTTACGTATTTTATTTGTCTGCTTTTGTTTTATCTCTAGATTTCTTAGCTGTTTAGTATAAGAAGAATCTTGATAAGTTGAACTAACTAGGTAATCTGTAACCGACAGATGGAATGATGCACCTCACCATTCAGGCACATATATTATGAGGATTATGCATTATATACTACCATTCAAAAGTTTGAGGTTGGTAAGATTTTTTTTTTATATTTAAGAAAGAAATAATTAATATTTGTCTCTTTTTTTTTCTTCACAAAGGCTGCTTTTATTTGATCAAAATACAGTAGTAATATTGTGAATATTATTAGTATTACAAATGTAAAATAACTCTTTTCTGTTTTTAAATATTTTAAAATCTAATTGATTCCTGTGATGTCAAAGCAGTCATTAATCTAGTCCTCAGTGTCACATGATACTTCAGAAATCATTCTAATAGGCTGATTTGGAACAGTTATTATTATTATCAATGTTAAAAACAGTTGTGCTGCTTAATATTTTTGCAGAAACTGTGATACATTTTTTTCAGGATTCCTTGATTAATAGAAAGTTAAAAAGAGCAGCATACATTTGAAATAGAACTTTACTTTCACTTTTGATCAATGTAATGCATTCTTGCTGAATGATAATATTAACTGGTTTTAGGGATGCACAATTTGTAAAAAAAAAAAATATATATTTTATTATATATATATATATATATATACAGTGGTGTGAAAAAGTGTTTTAATCGACGTGTTACAACACTGTTAATACCGGTATCACCGGGGGGTGGGGTTCGTTGGGGTTTTCCCTCTTCTCACCGCTTTGCTTCACTTTTAAAAAGCTTATAAATGCCTGTGCGCATTTTACTTACACTTTCAAGTTAGTGGCAATTCAGCGTCAATTGCTTGAATGGAAAACAACAAAACGATACAACGACAAACTCACTTAAACAGAACTTTTGTTAACAAACCGAATAAAAATACACCATGCTATAGGCCTAATATCGTGTGTGTGTGAGAGAGTGTGTGTGTATAATTATTTTTAAATAATCCAAATATAAGTTATGACATTAGAAGAAATGTGTAAGATTCTGCTATATTTTCACCAATCTTTTTAGTGACATATAAACTCATTTAAACTTTAAACTTATTAAGTTTGTCACAAACTTGTGGAGTTTCTGCAGCTGGAGTGCTGCTGTCATTGCAGCAAATGAGGGACAAGCCAAATACTATGACAGTTAGTAATCTTTCACTTAAATTGTTTGCTGATATAGTAATTTCTAAGGAAAACTGTATTTAAAAAAGAATGCAAAATTTGTATCATTAATTAATTAATGCAAAATAATTAATACAGTCATTTCACTAGTGGTCTCAGATGTTTGGACACCACTGCATGTTTATAATTAATTAGATCAAATCTAGCAGGAGGGATATAAGAGTTCTGTCATTTCTTTTATTTAACATAAAACTGTGTTTCCTCAGCAGCCAGTGCTCCAGTAACGACAGGACCTCCACAAGGGCAGCCGCTGCCTCCAGAATATGGACCTCCACCTTATGAAGCCACACTACAACCTGGCTTTGTTCCACCACATGTCCCAGGAGAAGGTCCCATGCCTAAGCATGTGCATATGCCAATGCCCATGCTTCATCCTCACGGTGAGTGTGCCTACCTAACTGACACACTAATGCATCAGCAGCCATTCAGAAAACATTAGCATTTCAGAAAGAAGAGCTACTACTAAATTAAAACCAAAATCTGTTGTGATGCGACAGGTTTCCAACAACGGGTAATTTTTCTGTTCACAATGAAACTGAAAGTGATGTGTCAGGCCTCGGAGCAGTATTACACAAAATGAATCCTTTTCACTTTTTTAATACACATTCTTGTGAATGGTTGATTGGTGAACATTATTCAGTAGAAAAAAATTGTTGTGTTTGTAATCTTTCATTAATATTTAATAACTCACTCCGAATTGAAATGGAATAGTTCAGGCAAAAATGAATATTCTGTCATCATTTACTCACCCACATGTCGGTCCAAACCTGTATCTATCTTCCATGTAACACAAAAGAATATATTTTGAAGAACCAAACAGTTTTGGTTCCCATTGACTTCCATAGTATTTTTTGCCCATACTATGGACGTCAATGGGGCCCGAAACCATTTGAACATTCTTCAAAATATCTTCTTTTGTGTTACACGGAAGATAGATACAGGTTTGGAACAACATGAAATGTTGTTAGGAACAACTTGAAATGCTTTGTAATTTGTCACAGTTGTTTTTGTAAGACGACATTTCCGATTAACTAGTACTAGATTTCACCTACTTTTTTTCATTATAGACAAAATTCAAGCTACATTGTCTACGAGATTTATTGTGTGCAGAGATCTGTAAAAATTCATTCATGTGTTGCAGGTGGTTACTATGCTCCACCTGGGCACTTTCCTCATCCGATAGCAGAGCAGTATGGCCCAGGGCCCAGTCACTTTGCTCCAGGCCACACAGCCACAGTTCTCGCCCCTCCTGGTGCCGCCACCACCACCGTGACTGTTCTACAGGGGGAGATGTTCCAAGCGGCTCCAGTGCAGACGGTTTGTCCACACTGCCAGCAACCCATCATTACCTGCATCAGCCACGACATCGGCCTCACAAATACTCTTATCTGTATGTTCTGCTTCTTTGTCGGGTAAGTGAGCAGTGGAACTGAACAGCACAATATGATCTGATATGACCCCTTCAGGGTTATTATAGTTAACTTAAACTAAAACTAAAACTAAAACCACGACCATAAAAAAAACTTTAACTGAAAGAAAATATAAAAAAAAATATATATTTAATTTTAGCATTAATTTAGGCATTTCTCATTTTCATTTAGTGTAACTTGTTTTATTAAAATAATTAAAACTGAAATAAAAAAAATTAAGAATATATCTATCTATCTATCTATCTATCTATGGATAGACAGATAGATATAGATATATATAGATAGCTATATGAAAAAACTAACAAAAATGACAAAAAAGCAACAAAATTACTAAAACTTTAAAATGAAAACAGGATATATATATATATATATATATATATATATAAATAACCATTCAAAATATTAATTAAAACAATAACAGTAGCTCAATAATACTAAGATAACACTGGACCGTGGACCTCTATATGAAATCATCTTTCTGTTATGTTTTTTCTTGATGTTGGTTGTATACTGATTTGGCAGACATACATTTTTCTAAGAAATAATAATAAAAGCTTATGTTAAAGCACTAAATAAGGTTTTCACGATGAGGCTTTTTTTCTTCATTATGATTTCAGGACAGTTGTATCACCTTGGCATTTTTTTGTTTTTTACCATTCAAAAGTTTGGGTATTTAAAAAAAATATTTTTGAAAGAAGGCTTTTATGTTCATCAAAGCTGCATTTATTTGATCAAAATACAGTAAAACAGTAGCCTAATGTGAAATAATATTGCAATTTAAAATGTCTGTTTTCAGTTTGAATATATTTTAAAATATAGTTTATTCCTGTGATGCAAAGCTGAATTTTCAGCATAATTTCTCCAGTCTTCAATGTCACATGATCCTTCAGAAATCATTCTTATATGCTGATTTGCTGCTCAATAAACATTTCTCATTATTATCCATGTTGGAAACCATTAATATTTTTGTGGAAACCGTGATAAATAAAGTTGAAAAGAAAAGCAGTTATTTGAAATAGAAATCTTTTGTAACATTGTAAAAGTCTTTACTTTCACTTTTGATCAATTTAATCCATCCTTGCTGGATAAAAGTGTTCATTTCAAGTGTTAATTGGAGTAAAACTCCACACCTGTCAATGGTGGTGTACATGAATTTTAGCACAGAAATTGAAGCAGTTTTCAAAATAGAAGAGGTGTATTCAGGTCATTGCATGCATGAATTGCATTTTTAATTTAGTTTTGAATAAATTAATACATAATGAGCCCTACGATATCTCTTTGAGATTCCTTCTGACTTTTGTCTTTGTTTTGCAGTTGTGATCTAGGTTGCTGCTTGATCCCCTGTTTGATTGATGACCTCAAGGATGTGACACACACTTGCCCGAACTGCAAGGGCTATATTTACACATATAAGCGCATATGCTAACAGTTTATCCCATCAACAATCATGCTGTCACCTCATTCTGGTGGGTGTAGACGACCCGTTTTCATTTGTTCTCTGTGTTCATTTTGCCTCAGCGGACAGTTCATATTTCCAGCCACCTCTCACTTCATGTAAGTATTGATTCTCATATATATATATTTTACAGGCACTTGACATAGTTACTGATGCCTCTAAAATTAAGCAGAGGTGATTAGCAGAGGTGATTGAAGGATTGGTACATTTTATATGCACAATGGTCAGTTACATTGTGTCATCCAAGCACTATTTTTATTTTAGCAGTAGAGTGTATACATTTAGCGAATATGTAAAAACATTAACCTTGAAAAGCTCATTTGTGAATATTACTGGGTTGCGAAGCTAAATTAAGTTCACTTCAGGGTCAGTATGGTTGGATTGTAGGATTATTATTTTATGCATTATTGTTTTATTTTAACATATTAAATTAAAGTCTTTCATGGCTGGGTCTGGGACTTTTGAAGTCCTGGAGTAATGTTGTTGCTTTTACATGTGAAAATGTCTCTATATTTGGCATGTTATGCAAATGTTATGGGAATTGTTTTCTTTTACTTTTGTTTTCAATTTCTTATATTTGTTGATAAGACTCATTTCAAGTAGATTTGATATATGCTTATCAATGTAACAGGCATTGTTGTAATGATGTGTCATTTTAGATGAAGGATTTGTATTGATAAAGGGATCTGTATGTCCATCTAAATCTCCTTTGAATAATTTAGAGGTGCTAGATAGCTTTCATTAAAGTTCATGGTGTTTTAAAGGAATAGTTCACCCAGAAATGAAAATTTGCTGAAAATGTATTCACTCTCAGGCCATCCAAGATGTAGATGAGTTTGTTTCTTCATCGGATTCAACAGATTTAGAGGAATTTAGCATTACATTACTTGCTCGCCAATGGATCCTCTGCAGTGAATGGGTGCCGTCAGAATGAGAGTCCAAACAGCTGATAAAGACATCACAATAATCCACAAGTAATGTGAGTAATCCACAAGCTGTTTGTAAAAAAAAAAAAAAAAAAAAAAAAATCATTAAGATGTTTTTAACTTCAAACCGTTGCGTCCAGAGTCCATAATCCATATTGCTTTCTCCAACTGTTCCTTTAATATGCCGTGCAGTTCATGCTAGGGACATATTTGTGGAATTCAACCAATATACTTTTCTTTCTTTTTTTAGAACTGTGAATCAAAAGTATAGCCACGGTGCTTTTCAAACCACTATACTAGCTGTTCTGTGTTGTCAGTAAGCTGTTTGAGACTTCTGTAAACTATCATCTGTTATTCAGTTCAGTTTATTAACCATTAATAATGTAGATCTGTGTTTGCTGATACTCAGATTGGTATATAAACAGCTATAATTACAGATCAGCGCCCTTTAACAGTTATTCTGGCCAGTACTGCTGAAAAACATGTTTAGAAGTGGACGTTGCATTATTTCTTAATTTCTACTTGATGTAGTGAAGTCGTCATCTTCAAAAAGGGAAGACATTTTTGGTAAAGGCTGTTCAAAGCTGCTTTGCTGTTGGAGTTCACCAGCATGATGAAGGACGCTGCATGCCATCACTGTAATCTTGCATAGCGCTCTATCGGGCCATATGTGCCCTCAGTGTGTCACACTGTGCTGGTTGCTGCACTGGGCTTCATAACTCAAAGCAGATTAACCCTTCGCTTATTAATACTGTGTGCAGCAGGCCACAAGGATTTAAAGGATGATTGTCCTGATCTTCCTTTTGTGTGTGTGTGTGTGTGTGTGTGTGTGTGTGTGTGTGAGAGAGAGAGTGTGTGTGGTCAGATTGTGATTGTAATTTTAATGGAATCATCCAAAGAGTTTCCTTTATTTGGTTTAGGGCTATTTCTGCATAGCTGTTTGTCCTGCCTGTGAAATTGTAAATTTTCAATTCATTTTGTTCTTTTCAAACATGTGATTTACTGCTGAAATGGTACGAAAGGTACAACATCAGCAGTGCTAAGACACTATATATCTCAATATTGAGACGTTTGTTTTTCATCTTTTGTTTAAAACTACACTAAGTAACGTTTGGGCCTGTAGCGGTTTAAAAAAAATAAACCTGCACGCGTTTTGCGGAGTAACATTGTTTTGGTTGTGCTTCGGCTTTGCTCCTCTACGTGGATGAATGTAGTTTGACGCACCGCTGTATCGGTGTGCGGGGTTTCTTTGGTTTTACAATGGCGATTTCCCGTTTTGAATGATCCATGGTCATTTTTCTCGTTCGTTGTGACAACAAAGTTTCAGCTTCACGCTTCTCCCACAACATAAACGCGAATATTTTCTCTATGTACGGATATATGCAATTTCCCGCAAAATCCGTCCCGACAGCTCTAAAATAGAAATAATTATTATAGGGTGATCAAGTTGTTTTTGGGTGAATAAAGGACATGGTTTGCACTCACTCTTTAGTAATATTTGTTTTCCCCATCAAAAATGTTACATAGTGTAGTTTTAAATGAAGATTCAGATAATAATTGTGTTATATCTCTGGTAGACAATCTGCCAACATTATAGCTATTTCACAATCAAGACTTTACGTCTTTCCATTGTACTATTTAACACAAAAGGGAAAACATGTAGCAATCTGTCTGTAAATGCATATAAACCGGCTGTCTCATTGTATATGATCTTTTTAATCAGATCTGTCCAAGGAACACTGCATTTTTATAGCATTTGCACATTTGCTCTATATTGCATATGCAGGCATTACAAAAATAATTTTAACCACATTCAGTTCCGATTTCAAAATATCCAGCAGAAATTCCAATGTACTATTTTCTGACTGAAAAAATTACCTCATCCTATCTGGCTTTATTTGATTCCATCACCCATGACCTGTAACATCATCAAGATACCTCTCCATCATTCGCAAAAACTACATGATGTGTTTGATTATTGGAAGATAATCTCCAGTAAATATGCATGCATGATCATGGGATTCACTTGCACTATCCTGTCTGGCTCCCTTTAATTGAATATGCTCTTGACTACGTAGGTCTACTTGCTTTGTGAAGTGACTTAATGCTGTTGCAGACAATAGATGTCAAGCTTGTGTTACATGAATGCAGCTGTAGATAGATGCCTTGAGAATAGTATATGACACTACACCAGATGCCATGCTCAACTCAAGTCTCAAATGTGTATGTAAAATAAAACTTATGGACTGATTATTTGAACAAATAAAAAGATAAACTGTGTCATATACGAGTAGTCATTTTATTACTTGCACACACACACACACACACACAAAAAAATCAGTCATCAGGCCAGTCATCATAATGATACATTAACATTCTGTAATAGTGAAAATAAAGTAGATGATGCATAAAGGCTGTCTGTTGTTTTTAATAAATGGTAGTTTTGGCTCCAACAAATAAATATAAAAATCTTCTAAAGAAAACCAAATTTTCTATTATGAGCACATATTCTGAGCCTCAAACAAAGCCCAAAACTAAGGTCTCTGATTTAGTCTCTCCAACGATGCCCACATTGTAGATTGCAGCACTTGTAGAAGGTTGTCATTGGTTCATCAGCAGATCTAGTCTGAATCTGCATAAAGTAGGCCCTTGGGTGCTCACATTTTGGACAAGGTTCTTTAAAGAAAAATGAGAAAGTGTTATACCTCAAAACAAATCAAGGATTAAAAACATTAATTTAAAGCCACCAGAATGTGTGGTCAAATATTCACTGTGCATACAAGTACTGTTTTTATTGCACTAGGATAACACTGTTTTACCTGGAGTGGAATCCACATTTTCCCAAGCAGCAGAGCCCCCGAGAACATCATCAACCTCCTTCAGTTTGGGGTAATTTCTGTTATTCACCTGTCAAAATAACCAATAGTTATTTCCACACACATCAGATATGTGTGTGTGTGTGTGTGTGTGTGTTTTTTATGTTGGCAGTGTCTCAAAAACTAGTGACAGCATTTTTGGGCAATGTTCTAATTCAGGAGTCTTTTCTCTCCTATGTCATCCCAAAGACCCCTTGGTAGTGCGTCTGAAATCATATAAAGTGTTTACTTCGTGGCCATTAAATTGTATGTTTTATATAGTACGAATTTGTGTATTATGGATGTAATCCAGACATACTACATCTGTCGTGTTGTGATTGTCATGTAACTTACAGTTGTGTACTATTTTTCATATACTATTTTTCGCCTACTACATATTAGGGAAGTATATTCTGATACAGCCACTGAATCAAAAATTCACATGATTTCTTCTGCGTTCAAATAAACTCACATATGTTCTAAAAGAAAAGTTCACATCTTTTTCCAGTATTACATGTATTTGAATGGAACGTTCACATTGTTTAATGTGACTGTAGTGTGTTATATCGTCATAATGTTAATAGACATTAATCTTATCATAATATTATTACATGTGTTGGAATCGAACAATAATTTTATTTCACGTGTCTAATCGAAGGTTCACGTCATCAGATATGAATCGTAATGACCCCTAATTTCATCTTCAACGTATTTTAAAGCATTCCATTTAAAAACAAACAAAGCACAGATGATCACGTATTTAAATAAAACGTTCCAAACGCGTTTCTATGTTGTAATGGTAACTCATTACCTTCCTCGTGATGTTGTGCACATATGGACATGTGTTACACGCGAATCTGAAGCATCTCTGCCCCTCTTCCACGATTAACACATTCCCACAGGTTGGACAAAACAGGAGCATTTTCAAGCGGTTATATATAATATTGAATAGTAAATACTGTTATTGTTTTTTTTTTTTTCCCTGATGCAACCGAAGTTGGTGTTTACACACATTCTCATGCCTAGTCGCTACAGGAAACACATGGTGGTAAACGTGCCTCACTATTCTCAGCTCGACATGAAACGAAATATAAACGCGAATAAACAATAATTATATGTCATATAATAATCTTATATATACCTAGAAATGTCAGAGAATATATAAATGTTAAATTAAAATATTCAAATGTAAAGAATTGTATCGGAAATATAATATAGAAACGTATGCGGAACTAAAGTTTGGTGCATCATAGAAATGTTACGATAGCGTGTTTGTTAAAAAAAAAAAGGATATAAGGAAAGCTGGAACGTAACAGAACTGTAGATGTTACAATTTCTTCAGAAATAATTGACCAACTATTCCATTTAAATGTACTAATAGTTTAATAAACATAGAAAGAACCTGACACTTTAATGTCTTGTATTTCTAGATAGTTTTTGCTTGTTATCAGTTGAAAATGGATGAAGTAAAGGAAGGATCCCCAAAGAATGTCGACGAGGCTGAGTTAGTGGAGAAAACTGTTGTAGATGAAATGAAAGAAGAGCAAGAAGAAGAAGACGACGAGGAGGCATTGCCCCACTCTGAATTTCTTGACATCTTTGAGGAAGGCCTGGCTCTGATGGTGCAGGACCCTTTACTGTGCGACCTGCCAATTCAGGTCGACCATCAAATAACAATGAAGAGTTTGTTTTAATAGAATAATATTAAAACAAGCTACATATCTGAATGTATTAATTCGTAAGATCTAGAATTCTAAATCTTTTCTGATCTTTTAAATGTTCAGGTCACATTGGAGGAGGTGAACTCTCAGGTGGCTCTGGAATATGGTCAAGCCATGACTGTTCGTGTTTGTAAGGCTGATGGAGAAGTCATGCGTGAGTTTTCTTGTTGGTAGTCGCAACTGTTATATATGTATTGATTCTAACTGGAGCAAATCTCTTCACAGCTATTGTGGTTGTGCAGTCTGCTACGGTTCTGGATCTCAAGAAAGCCATTTGCAGATATATGGAGCTGAAACAGCAGCGAGAGGGGGGTGTCAAACACATAAGCTGGTGAGACGTGAAAAAAGTATGGGATGTGATTTAGGATATGATTCCCCGCCCCCCTTCCTAATCTACTTTCTCTGTTAAGGAAATATGTGTGGAGGACATTTCATCTGGTCTTCAATGGAGAACAAGTAGAAGATGACAAAAGAAAGCTTAAGGAGTGAGTCCAAAAAAATCTGTTGCTTTTGTAGAAATGTGTTAACTTTTATTCATTTTTTGTGCACAATAGTTGCTGTGCTCTGAATCATGATATGTTTTTGATGTGATTTAGTGTGATTGTGTTTCATCTGTCCTCAGCTATGGGATCAGGAACAGAGATGAAGTGACGTTTTTGAAGAAACTGAGGAGGAAATGAACCGAGACAATTGCCAGTTTTCTTTAATAGGCCAAATTTGTAAATAGATATTTAAAGGCGTTCTGTTCCAAACACTGTTCACAGCTATTTTTCTGTGGAACAACAACAACAACAACAACAAAAAGCTTTTTTCTTTCTCTATTTTTTTTTTTAGCCTTTTAAACTGTTCTTTTCCATACAATAACAACATTTCAGTGACCACTGAAATGGAACGTGGCAGCTGTGGTCACCATGAACTTTGAGCAATGTTCTTTTTTAAAACTGCTTTTGGGAAGACTTTGTTTATTTCCTAATCCTGTGAAGACGGACACTTGTTAAAGCAATTATTCTAACAACTAACTTAAATAGTTATTTTTAGAATACATTTTATAAAGGCATTGTTAATTTTACTGAGACAGAAACCCAAACCATCATATTTGTAAGCATAACGCCATTAACATGTATACATCTATACAGCCACAAAACAGCTGATTCACTGGAAGTACATGTCTCCTAACGTGCTTTAAAGTCATATTTGTGTGTTTTATGTTTCTTTTATATTGATCAAAATAATTAAACCTGAACATGGTGAAAATGGGTTGTTTTCAAGAGTGCAATTTAAGTCCCCTTAATGTTGGTTTTAAAATGCTTATATAATAGATATATGTAGTTTAAGACCCTTGTCACGATGTGAGTTAGTAGTAAAATACAGGTAAACCACACACTTTAAATATTATGAACATGTTCCTCATACTGATCCGCTACAGTAACCAGCCTCTTATTTCCTTATTACTGCAATGTGAAGAGCAACTGAAGAGACTGCAGCGCACATGGGTACTTATTAAATGTCTATTTTTAAAAAAAATTTAAAATAGATAATTATTGTCCATTCACATTGTAATTGCACTTGGGTTAAGTAGTGTTTTCATATCAGGAATAAACCATTGTATTAAACAGTTCTGCATTCTTGACTAGATGCTCTAGAGCTATTAAGTTCTATTATGAAACTATTTGATCTATTTCAGAGTGGACGCTGTATGAAGGTTTGAGGCTTTTGGAGGTTTAAGTGAACCGTCATCTCAACCCTCAACATGCCTGATGAACAGCTGATGAACATTTTTGAGGAGCTGAATTGGCTGTCCTTTCGCAGACAGCAGCTGATTGACAAACGCAATATCCTGGCAATGCTCATCCAGTTCAAGCGATACAACGGCCAGAATGAGGAACGTGAGTCCCATCAGCTGAAACTACTTGATAACAGAAGCCAAATAAACCTTGAAAGACATTTAGAGATTATTCATAAATAAAGAATTTGGTTATATATACAAACATAGCTATTTTTTTTCATTGTATGGTGTTACAGTATGTAAGGAATAAACTAGGGATGCACCGATACCACTTTTTCCAGTACTCGCCCGATACCGATACTTTTATTTTTGGTACTTGCCGATACCGATTACCGATACCAATATTTTTATTGCATTTGTAAATTTTTAAAATATTGGGTACAGAAACCAAAAGAGTATGTATAATGTTAGTTGGTTAACTTTATTTATCAAATAGATAGTCAAACCTAAATTTATTCAGACACCTTCAACATTTCTCACATTATCACAGTTTATTCGCTATAGTTTAGAAAATGGTAATAAAATATAACAAGAACTCAGAGTTAAACGGAGTCAGAACAAATTCAACTTGATAATGTTAGATAACTTTGATAGAAAGGTATGTAGCCTAATGGATTACAATCAACCAAAAATCAGACAGCTGTTAGTATGACAGTATTTACACAACTATCAATACTTAGCCGGGCAACCCTTAGCCTCAATGACAGGCTGTAGTCTCCTGGGCATGCTGTCATCCAGCTTCATGCAAACCTGAACTTTTTT